TTTACTGGGTTCCAGTAGATAGTCGATTGTACGTTGTCCGACTAAACGGGACAGTAAGGACTCGGAAAGATGGGGGAACCCGCCGTTGCCTCTTCGTCGTATCTGCCTATGCTCCCACTGACTGCAGTTCAGATGAGGTTAAAGATGACTTTTACAGAAAGCTTTCGGACCTCCTTCAAAAAGCTAGGCGCTCTGCTATAGTAATAATGGCTGGTGACTTTAATGCTCAAGTAGGTAGACTAAGTGAGCAGGAGAGACACCTAGGTGGATGTTATGGTGTCGCGGCTCAGAGAACAGACAATGGCGATCGTCTGTTGCAACTATGTTCAGATAACCGCCTACTTTTAGCAAACACTAACTTTCGGCGTAAGGAAAAATATCTGTTGACCTGGCGACCCCCAAAGTCGTCTCATTGTTGAGCCCAACTAGATCATATCGCCATCAGCCACCGAATCAGAGGTTCGATATAGGACTGTCGCTCGTTGTGGGGCACATGTTTAGATTCAGATCATGCCCTAGTGTTTGTCTGGGCGTAGAAAATACACCGTAAGAAAGCCTCTTAGGGTTTTACTTAATGATAATAAACCTAAGAATACATTTTAAAAACTATAAAAACAGTTAGGCGACCATTTAGGCGATTCCCATCAGAAAGCAGGTTGGTATGATATTAAAAAGGCTGTGGAAACAGCAATGATATCTGCTAGTAAGGTAAACCATAAGGCTAGGATAAGCCGTGGATCTCAGTAACATAAACGGAACTAATGGATGCTCGAAAACTCATCCCGCCTGCCTCTCAACATGATGAAGAACGAAGTCAGCTTAAGCGCAGGCTGATAAAAAGCCTGCGCTACGACCGTGAACAGTGGTGGGTGGCGGAAACAAGAGTGATGGATCATTAACAGTAGACAACTTTTCCGACTTATCAAGGAAACTGGTATTAGGAATCCTAGTGTAAGTGAGACTATCTCGGAAAATGATGGGACTATTACTTATTCTCAATCCAGGAGACTTGACCGATGGGCAGAACACTTCAACTGGCCTCGAGCCACTCTTCGGTTACCCACGATCTCCAGTCATCCTGAATGGCAAATCGACGTAAGTCCCCCTAGTCTTAATGAAGTTCAGAAAGCGTTGGGAAATCTGAAACGAGGACGAGCTGCAGGTCCTGATAGACTGACCCCTGAGATATTTAAGGATGGTGGTCCAGTTTTAGCAGCTAGATTGACTGAGATCTTAGGTAGAATCTGGGAACTGGATGTAATCCCATCCGACTGGTCTCAATCACTGACTGTCCCAATCTATAAGAAAGGACAGAAGTCCTCTTGTGACAATCACAGGGGAATCAGTTTAACTAATATAGTTTCTAAATTGTTAGCCTCGGTTATACTTAGACGCCTTACTAGTGCTCTTGAAGAGCAGACTAGAGAAAAGCAGTCTGGTTTTCGAACTGGATGTGGTTGTATAGACTACATTTTCACACTACAACAGGTCCTGGAACACAAACACACATTTAGGCGTCCTACAATAGTTGTATTCCTGGACCTAAAAGCGGCATTTGACTCAGTGGATCGTGAGGTTCTGTGGCAGTGTCTGTTATTGAAAGGTGTACCAAAGAAGTACATTAACCTTATACAAGCTCTCTACTCGAACATCACTGGTCGAGTGAGAGCTTATGGCGAACTGTCACCGGAATTCTTTACTTCAAGTGGTGTCCGTCAGGGCTGTCCACTCTCTCCACACTTGTTTAATTTTATCAAAGACATGCTCTTAAAAAAGTTGAGATGGTTGGGACATGTGTTACGAATGGCTAACCACCGACTGCCGCGACGAGCTATGTTTTGTGGTGTAGGAGTAAGTTGGAAGAAAGCTAGGGGCGGCCAAACCAAAACATGGCACAAATCCATGAAGTCACTGACAAGTGGACTGAGTCATGTTGGTAGATGTAGACTACCTGGTTGGGGTCCGTGAGATTTTATTAATCGATTGTTAGAGACTCCGAGTGACATGGCTTAAAATCGTTTGCAATGGCACAGGTGCATTCATTGTTTGTTTTCTTTTAAATCCCAAACTTTTTAATTCTTCATCCCCTTTATCTTTATCTTTTTTAGTCTATTTCACTAGATTATACTTCTTGAATAATGTCTTCTAATCTTTACCTCTCCGAATACTGCCAATACCTTTACTAACTATACTTCTATTGGATTTGAATTGACAATCATATCTCTGTGCTAATGTGGTTTGGCAACATAAACTTATGTACGTACGTACGAAGTTCTACGTTGCTTTTGATCGATTGATTGAAGAAGAAGAATGTATATTCGCAGTAGCTGGAAGTTCAGGAAGAAGAGCAAATTTCGGGAAGAATATTGATAATTATACAATTCATAATCAGTCTTTTTTCATCAAATGCCAACCTCTAAGTCATACTTTAAGTGACTGAGTAAGCATGCTGCAGGTTGTTGGCAGAATAGAGATCCAAGAATATTATTGGAAATATGGTTGATTGCGATCAAGTGAAAACAGGATTATTTGAACGATCTGAGTTTGTCAGCCAGCTCATATAGGAGCTGAAGTATATAAAGTGTCCATGAATTCTCCTGGAAGTTGGAGTATCATGCCTTAAACCCATTCTACCGTAGCGAACTAAACATTAATTGTCACTGTATTGTGAATTCACAGCAAGACGAATGGAAGAGCTTCTGTTCCCTGTGGTACATTTTCGGCTGAAAGTCAGGCTTTCAACTATCGGTGGGATCATTTTACCGAACCGTTAGCTTATGAATAGTAGTAGTGATCTGATGCCAACGGTGTGTAAGGATAGCTAAGAGCAACCGAAGTTTGCGGCCCGTCGTTTGGCAAAGGCACGGGACACTGTTCCAGTAGTAATATCCTCGATAGGCACTGCTTCTGGCTATCGTTCGGAACAATCTACACATATCAGGAGGTAAGAGAATCCGCTTGGGTCCGGTGAGGCTTCAAGTCAAGATGAACACTTTTGAAGCTAGAGTCAGGAGAACGGAAGGTGCTTAGGAGACATTTACTATGCTTAATTACTCTAGACTTATGGTCATTTAAATAATTGTTCCCACTCATTTACGCCATTGTTTATATCAAACCCAAAACCACTATTCTATAAACCTGATGGTTGCTCAAACACCTGGATGGGAAAATTTGTACAACATATTGCATCTATAATGGTTCGGCACGATTGAACAATCGAACCTACGGATGTGTCACAAAGTAAAATTTCCTTACCTGTTTCCATCTCCTTGACTGGTAGTTCCAGGTTTGTCAGGCATAACGCGTGTCTTGTTCATACAAGTGAGCCTGTTTGAAAAGTTCGATTCCTTGGGAACTGTATAATGACGTTGCTCGAGACAGGGTGACTGCAGTTACATTTTCTGCCCCAGAACTAGGTTGTCTATCTGAAGTAAACTGAGAGATGTATTCCAGTTTGTGAAACTCTCGAGCAGAGTACCTATCTGAAGATGACCAAAGCAATAACTTCAAAAGAATATGGTCGGTGGAAATAGTGAATTCGGGCCTTACATACAGTACTGAATGAGTCGTGTAACACAATTCAGCACTTGGAGTTCCCTGCTAAAAGCACCTTACCTATGTTCAGCTCATTTCGAATGTTTCGAGAAGAATGATATATGTTGCCAGGTATTGTTTGTTCATTGTTTTAAGATTCCTCTCATTGCCAAGTCTTTCGTGTCTACTGAAATACTAATGAGTGTATTTCGGTGTAGGAGTTGCCCAAAATAGTAGACCTAGCGAAATGTTCTTACGCTGTGGAAAATGCTTTCTGCACAGTACCGAAAAGGTTAGCGATTTTCCCATTTCCGCGTTGTTAGCCGGGTAAAGCACTCATAAGAGGCGCGCAGATCGATATTAACAATCAGTAAAAACTTTTCTGTCCACGGAACGTGCAAAGATGCTTGAATGTGGTCGGTTCTAGGTAATCCAGAATAGCCGTCACTTCATTTCCTAAAAGGGAGAATACCTTGAGCGTCAATAGTATGTCCAAGAAAGCTCATAAAGTTCGTTCCGAATTGAAATTTCTGCATGTTGTCGAAAATGATTTATTTTTGCAGTCATTGGAAAATAGGATCCAGATGATAGAGATCAGATTTTCTGTCCGGATTCGCGATCAGACAGTCATCAATAAAAGCAAACACAAACTAAATCGAGAACAGCAGAGAACTAATGTATCTGTCAGCTTCATTTTCACATTGAATGTCAAGATAGGGAGATCTTGAGAATCACTAAGAGCGATCGTCTTGAAAATTGTGCGTTGTTTGATATGTACGTAGAAGGTCAACGGTCCTACTGGCAACATGAGTATGAAACAACGAGAAATAAAGATATGAAGGAGGAAGAAGAAGGTGAAATTACGTTTTCAAGTCCTTATGAATTTTGCTCGAAATTACTTCCGTTTTAATCTATTATGATGATCATTCGGTGTAATATGTGTTTTACTTTTAGTGTGATGCTTAGACCAGATGATATTCTTCCTACTGAACTGAGGTAAACAATACAGTATTGAATTTTCTCATAACTATGTACATCCTACATAAACGTGACTTTTTTCTAAATTAATAATCAAATCGATTTGTAAATCAGTCAATAAATGAATCATAGTTTCGAACACGGTCGCATCACTTCCCCGCCAATCAACATCCACTTGAACAAGTCAGTCTTTTATATTCTCACCTCGTATCATGGCAATTATTGTGTTGTCCCTTATTTCCCAGTATAAGTAATAAGATGACAACACAGATACACTGAATAACATACTGGTCATACTGGTTCACTGAAGACATCATCATCATCAGAATCAAAAAGTACAAGTTGAATAGAATAAATTTATTGTATTGATTGTCTTAATCAAAATATTTCAGTGCAAATTTATTAAATGAGCTAATCATTGACAATAAACAAACCATCTACATAAAACAATTGAAAATGCTAATTAATGTGATGATACATTTAACATAGCACAATTTAACAATGAAAATGATGAGTTACATACGAAAATAATGTGGATTATTGATGAAAAAATACGATAGTTTGTTGATTAATACGTAAAAGAAAATCTTTTAAACAAAATACACTAGTTTGTTTGACTGATATAAGTGACTGAATATCGTGAACTTCATGAAGCTCATTTCAAGGGGGCATAGTAATATCGGTATCTGGAGTTGGTTCGGTGAAAAACGAAAAGAAGTCTTTGAGAAACACGAAAACGACCAGAAAAAGATTACTCAGAAAATTTCCATCATCAGTGTTATCGGATTCTGTATCCTGTTCAGTAGTCGTTGTCATGTCACTCGTTTCATCCATTTCCTTGGTTTCACTTGGTACTTTGTCTGTTCCTGCAGCAGCTTGATCTGTCAGGTTGTTTGATGGTTCTGGTGCCGACATCAACAGACTGTTACACACCAAACATTGTGCTAAACACAACAACATAATCATTTTAACGATCATCATGTTGATGAATGTTGTTTAGTGAAAGTGTACAAGAGAGAATATGAATGTTTGTTGATATATATATATATATATATATATATATATATATATATATATATATATATATATATATGTCATTTTGTTGATGACGTTCGTGATTTGACATGGAATACGTGTGATTAAAGATTTGAAATGGAGTCAGCAAATTCTCTGATTCAGTTAATAATCGGTCAATTTTAAATGAAACGTTTACAGTTTTTAATATACACTAGTCTTAGTTAAACAATCATTTAAAAACAAGTGGCTCTAGAAATCTTTCTCTCCATCATATGCACCTTCTGAGTCATACACAACCATACTTCCATCTTGGATCCCATCCATTATCATGTCAGGGGTGTGATAGACTTACTCTCCTCAGCTGGTGAATGACATTTCACAAACATATAAATATCAGGAAATTGGGCCTTATTTGTAATCATATGACGGTTGTCAATAGGTGATATGTTCACTTCCAGACTGGAATTCATCAGGTTTCATTCATGATAACGTCAGTGTGTGTCTCACTGACAAGGATTCCTAGATAAAAGAGAACAAAACAACTTTCTAGTGCTTCTTAGTTACACTGACTCTCTTTCTCAAATCGATCAATGCGAAATTTTTTCAAACCCTATATACTAAAAAAATAGATTTAACGATCTTACATAACCTTAAGTCATTAACAGTTATAAAAATTTTAAATAATTCAGATAACATGAAGAATTCTCAACTAATATTCATTACACTTTATTGAAGTTATAAATCTTGTTACGTTTTATTAAAGCTTGCAATTTCTTGTAATTACTTGTAATAATAACCATCCTGTGTATCTTCCATTATGACATAATGTCATTCTATGTTGGAAATTGTTAGTTACATGTATGACTTCTCACTACTACTATATGACGATTCATTACTCTGTCGTGTCGATAGAATAGTGTTCTTGTCACTTGCTGTGTCAATTTACCTGTTCAATGCAACACTGATTGAATGATGACTTCTTATTATTGAAAATAAGTAGTTCTTTACAGATAGATATGAGTTACACAGTGGAGTAACGCGAAAACAACTGGAATAAAAATTTTTAACTCATATAATTGTCTTTATCAAATATTTTAGTGAATTGTTTTGTTATGACTGATCAGTTTTGATGTTAAAGGTTTGAATGATGTACAAAATAATCAAGCAAATTTCAGGTTCTGAATAGGATCATTTCTATCAAAAGTTTTGTCTGAATTAGTTGGCAAAGACATTTCTTTAGTTAGATTATTGTATTGTATACGACATCGGGATGTCATGAACGTTATTGTTATGTGTGAAAACATTAGTCATGATAATATATGCTTATACAGATTAACAGAATTACAGCATATGCAATTACGGAGGTCATCTTTTATATTACTACGACTACTACTTCGACTATTAGTAGTAGTAGTAGTAGTAGTAGTAGCAGTAGTAGTAGTAGTAGTAGTAGTAGTAGTAGTAGCAGTAGTAGTAGTAGTAGTAGTAGTAGTAGTAGCAGTAGTAGTAGTAGTAGTAGTAGTAGTAGCAGTAGTAGTAGTAGTAGCAGTAGTAGTAGTAGTAGTAGTAGTAGTAGTAGTAGCAGTAGTAGTAGTAGTAGTAGTAGTAGTAGTAGTAGTAGTAGTAGTAGTAGCAGTAGTATAATTCGTTGATTTCCAATTTGGGGCTTTGAAAAGTCACCTGTTGTTTGTAGGTTCGGTTGTGATGATGAAATAATGTGTTGACCAGTTAGTTGTTGGATGCCCGTTCATAAAAAACTTTCCTATGGTTAAAAGGGTCAAACCTGGTGGTTAGGAATCTATTTTTGGTTTTTTGCTCTTATTTTTAGTGTGATAGCTTACACAAGACATGATATTATTCCTATTAAAATGAGATAAACAATACAGTATGGAATTTTCTCATAACTACGGACAACCTCCATAAACGTGACTTTTTCTAAATTATTAATCAAATCTGTTTGTAAATCAGTCAATAAATGAATCATAGTTTCGCCTACAGTCGTATCACTTCCCCGCCAATCAACATTCACTTGTACAAGTCAGTCTTTTATGTTCTCACCTCGTGTCATGGCATTTATTGTGATCCCTTATTTCCCAGTATCAGTAATAAGACGACAACACAGATACACTGAATAACAAACTGGTCATACTGGTTCACTGAAGACATCATGATCAAAATCAAAAATTACAAGTTGAATAGAATAAATTTATTGTATTGATTGTCTTAATCAAAATATTTCAGTGCAGATTTATTAAATGAGCTAATCATTGACAATAAACAAACCATCTACATAAAACAGTTGAAAATACTAATCAATGTGATACTTTTAACATAGCACATGAGTTACATACGAGAACAATATGAATTACTGATGAAAAAAGTACGTTAGTTCGTTGATGTATACGTTAAAAATCTTTTAAACAAAATACACTAGTTTGTTTGACTGATGTAAGTGACTGAATATCGTGAACTTCATGAAGTTCATTTCAAGGGTGCATAGTAATATCGGTATCTGTAGGTGGATCTGCTGTAAACGTAAAGAAGTCTCTGAGAAACACGAAAACAACCAGAAAAAGTTTACTCAGAAAATTTCCATCATCATTGTTATCGGATTCTGAATCCTGTTCAGTAGTCGTCGTCATGTCAGTCGTTTCATCCTTTTCCTTGGTTTCACTTGATACTTCGTCTATTCCTTCAGTAACTTGATCTGTCAGGTTGTTTGATGTTGCTGGTGCCGACAACAGCGGCTGTTGACACACCAAACATTGTGCTAAACACAACAACATAATCATTTTAACGATCATCATGTTGATGAATGTTGATTAGTGAAAGTGTACAAGAGAGAATATGAATGTTTGTTGATATATATATATATATATATATATCATTATGTTGATGACGTTCGTGATTTGACATTGAATGCGTGTGATTAAAGATTCGAAATGGAGTTAACAGATTGATCATAATACCATTACAACTTTCTAATTCTTTATGCATATGATTTTGTAAATCCGTGATCATGCACGCACTAAACCTTATTTTGACCTTTTAACTTTGAGCTGACCGTAATAATTTGATCAACCATTAATTTGAGTTAGTCATTACAATATATCAATCACATGTCCAAAATTGATGAAAAAGCATGATGGTAAGCAGTGAAATCCAAAAACTCACCTGTATATTCACCTGCATCTCAACACTTAATGTTCACTCGGGGACTCGAACCCACTATATATATTTGACTAACACATCGATTCCCCTTGCTAGTTATCATCCATTTCTGTTTTTAATACTTCGTCTATAATGATAAATGATAATATACATATTGATTGTGCTTAATTACTCACATTGTATTCACATTAATTCTTAACCAAATAACTTGTCCATCAGACAAAAGATCTCAGTTTATCATCGTGAATACTCAGGTTCTTTTGAATTTGATGCTTAGAAGAACTGACTATCAAGTGTACTGTACCTTCCAATTATGCATCATGTGATGTCGATCGAAGAAAACCCTTAAATCATTTTTTTCATGTTACACTCTTATTGATTCGTTTCAAAATTCATTTCAATAACTGACAACGACGAGAAACTAAAAATCAACCAAGTTCGAATGTGGTGAATTACAAACGAATGTCGATGAACAAGAGAAATTCAATTTGAAATTGAACAAATCAAGAGTGATTTTTGTTAATATTCATAAGCAAAAGTTGCTTGTTTTATATCTTTTAGGGGTATTTATTTTAAGGGAAATTATTATTTTTATTATTAGACAGAGTATTCTGATATGTTCAGATTGATTCCAAGCAATGAAAACTAATAAAGTTATGCCATTTACGAGGTGAAGACCGGTGTCAGGCAAGGTTGCTTATTCTCACCCTTTCTCTTTATCCTTCTGGTCATCGACTGGATTATGAAGACGTAAGCATCCGGAGGGAAGCAGAGTATTCAGTGGACAGCTAGGACGCAGCTGAACGGTCTGGACTTCGCAGATGACCTGGCTCTTCTATCGCACAAGCAACAACAAATGCAAGAGAAGACGACCAGTGTAGCAGCAGCCTCTGCAGCAGTAGGTCTCAACATAGATAAAGGAAAAAGCGAAATTCTCCGATACAACACAACATACACCAACCAAATCACTCTTCATGGAGATGCCTTGGAGGATGTTAACACCATTACATATCTTGGCAGCATCATCGACAATCAAGGTGGATCAGATGCAGATGTGAGGGCGCGGATCGGCAAAGCAAGGGCTGCATTTCTACAATTGAAAAATATCTGGAACTCCAAACAACTTTCAACCAAAACCGAAATCAGGATTTTCAATACAAATGTGAAGACAGTTCTACTGTATGGAGCGGAAACTTGGAGAACTACGTAAGCCATCATCCAGAAGATACAAGTGTTTATTAACAATTATCTACGCAAAGTACTTCGGATTCGTCGGCCAGACACAATCAGCAACAACGTAATGTGGGAGAGAGAGAACAAACGAGATTCCAGTGGAGGAGGAAATCAGGAAGAAGCGGTGGGAGTGGTTAACACACACACTACGAATAGCACCTAACTGTGTCACAAGACAAGCCCTTATTTGGAATCCTCAAGGTAAAAGGAAAAGAGGAAGGCGAAGGAACACATTACGCTGAGAAACAGAGAAAGATATGAGAAGAATGAGCAAAAATTGGACAGAACTGGAAAGGGGAGCCCAAGATAAATTTGGTTGAAGGAAACTGGCCGGCGGCCTATGCTCCATTGGGGGTAACAGGCGTAAGTGAGTAAATAAGTAAGTATTTACGAAATGATGATATCTGTTAATTGACTGGTCAACTGGACGGACATACGAATATAAAAATTGATTTCTTATGTCTGTCATGAGAAAAATAATTAAGACATTTATGCTAGTTGTCACACCTGAGTAACATGATGTTAGGAAGTAATTTTGTAAATGTTCAGGATAGAAATGTTATATTATATTGTTGTTTGAAGTGCTCTAGTTTAAAAATATTATTTAGGGAGTGATCATGAGAAAGAAACAATATTTGATGTTTTGCGGAATGATTTAGATTGTAAAATGTTGAAGTAATTTCATTTTATCATTTTATGTAAACTAACCAGCTTTTCTAGAATTTTCTATGGTTGATGTTCCCGTTCTCGAATTGTATCTTCAGTTAATTCAATTAACAAATTAGATGTTATGTTACATTTCAAAACATTAATGGATGTACTCAAATATGTTATTGTTTGTCTAACAAATCTTGTGTAGAAAAGTCACAATTTTGTTGCATAGACCTCAAAAAATAAGATTATTCCTGTTCTCCAATTCATGAATAGAAATCTCTCTGTTGTTCATTTGATCTTTCGTTCAAAACAGTGATCCGTACTTGATTCAGCAAAACGAAACCAGACGAAACAAATTTCCATTACTGGGTTGTGAAGATTGTTAAGCTACACATTTTTGAAACCATGAATCGATCAATGTTAGACCACTATTAGAAACGTGGAAGCACTGGACGACCGTTTCGTCTTGGTATGGGATCCACTCATCAGCAGTGCGCATCCACGATTCCAGCACCTCGCACGATTCGTACCCAGGACCTTCGGTATTGTTTGCGAACGCCGAACAAATTTAATCAAAATTGCAATAAACCAGTTAAAAAACCCCTTAGGTATGTCTTAAACATCTTCAGGATTCTCCATTCAAAATCATATACTCTTTAATTATTTATATTTTACTACGGTGTTAGTTGGATTGTATGGTTTGTGAATGATTTCTTTGACCTACGAAAACATGTAAGATCGCATGGTTGTCACGGTGTGTGAATAATGAAATGCGCGCCTCCAATTAATAAAACCCTAGCTTTCGTATAAATTACTTTTTCAGTAACAGACCATACTAACAGAAGGTATATATTATCGGTTATGGAATGTAACGGTAGGTCTCGATTTGAACTGCAATTATCGTGTTAACATTTGAATGCATACACCATGCAATATAATGACACTGTTGACATTATAATACATTAGGCATTGTCTACTGGCCGATGATATTGTTGCGGTAAATGTTCGAATAAATAGGCTCTATGAAATTCCAGAAGCCAGTGAAGAGTTCGGTTGTGAACGATGATAATCGTAACAGTTATGATAATATTGATTATAACAATATCTCTGTCAAATTAACTGAGCTTTAGGCAATAACTAGCCAGAACTTAACATTGTTTACGAATTTTGTCTCATTGATAGTATTCAATCAATCATTAGCATGATCTCACTTTAACATTCCACGATGTAATTTGCATGACTCGTTCTGGCTTTTGTGTATAAACTCCAATAACTTATGCAGCATGTGTCTGTTAGGTTGTGTTAACCATCTTGACCTTCAGCACACCTACTTCAAATCCTTGTAATTATACACCCATGTATCTTGTGTGCATATCTGTCACTTATTATTTCATCCAATGTCTTTCGCCTTATCATATTACGTAATATCTGTTTTCAGCTATATTAACGCTTGTGATGAATGGTATCTTCTTCATTTCGCTTCACTTTCCCTCTCCTCATCTGTATAAACGATTGCATGCGGTAAACGTATTAAACAAAATCCATATTTTGCTTCTTATGACTATAGTCACAGACAAGGTTAGACTAAGTGTAATACTAGAAATAAAAATGGAAGATTTATTTTCGTGGTATATTCTATTGTTCATCCATGTTTAAGTGAAATATTTGACCATTAAACCACTAGAGCTTTTAAGATTTAAGAAATATTTCATTTAACTCAATTGGTAAAAATTCTTTTACAGTACAAACACTTAGAATTATATTAATTATTAGGGTGAAATGAATTTTATTACGTGCATTTAATATCTTCATAAGCTATCTGGGAAGTCACCTTAAGTGTACTTACGCATGAGTACATAAATCATGCTTGTGAAAAATCGTACTATTATAATATCCTACTTAAGAACAAATAAATCTTTAGTCTGAAATATTCCTCTTAGGTCGTTTTCACAACTTAATATTTTCTAAATGAAAACTGTTCTATGCATTCATAAAATGCACGTTAATAGTTGCAATAAGAAACAAACTTATGCATCGGGAAGAAGCGGTGGAAATTGCGGAAAGCACCCAACTGCGTCACAAAACAAGACCTCACATGGAACCCTCAAGGCAAAAGGAAAAGAGGATGGCCAAGAAACACATAACACATATAAATAGAGAAAGACATGGGAAGAATAAATAAAAATTAGGCAGAACTAGAAAGGGAAGCCCAGGACAGAGTAGGTTGGAGAACACTAGTCGGCGGCTATACTCGATTGAGGGTAACAGGCGTAAGTTTTGCAGTGATAAATCCTCAACTGTTTATTCATACCATTTTCATTAGCAGTTATTCAACAATTAGAAATATTACATATTTGTGTGTTGTAAAATTGGTCATCATAATTAAGAAAGGGAAGGTCCTAATTGTAATAACCTGTATTGATATTTATAGTTCAATGAATGAGATAATTAACCGAGAATGTTTATTAGTTTTCCACCACGTCTCTTGTTGAAATCTTGTTGCGCTAAAAAAGAAATTTAGGGGACATATAAAACAGGGAATAACCATTGCAATAAGTGAAAGAAGGCAATTATAATGATAAAGACCATAAACGCTACTGGTTTATGTAAACATTTTAGCATACAACTCCATATAATCGACGTTGCATTACACAGCTCGAAATTATCAAATACAAAATTGTCTACTGATTATAAAAAAGTAGTATAAATCAATACACTAAAAAGAGAGGAGTGTTGCAGTGAAACGACAGCAGATGTAAAATAACTTAACAATAACAAAGATTTTTCAACCCACGATAAACTTTTGTTGATCTAGGAACTTTATATATACCAATCCTATGAAAGAAAAACGGAAGAGATGTTAACTGTATCACTCTGTTAAATTGTAAATGAATGCATTTCAACTGATCAAGAATAATTCACACTTGTTCATCGATCTAAAAAAATGATGGTTTATTCACTAAAACTGTTAAAGTTACGAGTTTCATGATTATAAGTAGAACTTGCTCAAGAGGATATGAACATTGATTTATTTCATAGTATGTATCACGAATTGGCTTTAATTAAAAAACTGGAAAACTGTATCTTGATAGTATGGGGCTCTTTAGCAGTGTGGGTCTTAAAAATCCACTGAGAATGGAGCCTAGTACCTAGTCTCACCATAAACGCTTTCTCACTAGACGTGTAGATCAACAGATGTCGGATTAGCCGTCTATAAGTTAGGTTTTAGCCATCAAACCGAAGGTTTTTAGTTTGATGCCCAATGAGATCATCAGTTCTCACTGATCAAAGACCTATACTAAGACAAAATACTTTCACAGTGCTTTCTGGTCTTTACTGGTTGTTTAATGAAGTTTAATCCTTGATATCAACTATGTAGTTTAATAATCTCTGAAAAACCCCTATACAGTAACTTATTTGCTGATTAAATGATAAATATCATGAATGAACTATTAACCGATGTTTCTGATCATACAGTCATGTGACACAAACAAACCAAGAGTCAAAAACATAATATTTATATGAAGTTAAGTATTATTATTACATAAATATATAGAATACGTTAACAAATCTCAATTCATGAGGTATTTAGAGTGTTCATTACGTCAGAATATAGTTAAAGAAGAATTCTTTCGGAAATAGGTATGTCCAGGTTATTTGCAACAATGTATATTAATCTGTATTATAACTAATAGCTGTGCTGAAACTACAAAGAGCAGACATTAATTGAAAACTACTGTTGCAATTATCAAGAAGATATGATGATAGTGTTTAATAAACCGTCAGTTATACGTTTATGTAAATTCTAACAAATATTATACAACAACACCTCTAGATCCTATCCTTGCCGACTTCCTTCTCGTGAAACTAGAAAATGGATTTCGCAAAGAGGTTATTGATAAGCTCTACTTTTATTACCATTACAGCGATGGTACTTTCAGTATTGGGAATCATAACAATATCAAATCACAACCTGTGGAGCAATGTAACTGTACACACTCACCAACTAGTTGCACTTGTGAGGAGGACATTTTGTTAAAACAAAAAGGAAAATGATTCTGTCAATAGATGTGTGTATAGAAGAAATTCTTCACCAAGCCAGTACATACATTTCGTGAGCTTTGTACCTATTCATTAAAGCAGAAACCTAGTTAAATGTCTTGTGAGTTGAGCTTGGGAAGATATTCTCAAACCGCATCATAAACAAATTTCTCTGGAGTTCATTCATAACATGTTGATTGAAATGAGTTAACCAAAAGGTTAGGTGAAAGAACCGCTGCATATGATAAACAGAAAAATAGAGATGAATAAGAAAGAATAAGGTGAATAGGAAAACTCTCTTCCTGAAGCTCCAACTCGAAGGAAATAAACCTAGTGACGTACTCTGAGACAGGCTGGCTAAAGAAATAAAGATGACGTTAAATATACCTAACATCTGTCTATTCTTTTCTTGCCGATCTACGGTAATTCCTCAACTAAAGGATAAATTAACTGGACTTGCCACATTCATGTGTATCGCCGAATTCAGCTGTTTCTGTAGGAAAAGCTATACTGGGCCTAAAACAAGACAAAAGAGGCAACCACTTAGCGAGCTTCTCTCTTCGTGGTTAATAAAGGGCATAACAATGCGCAGATTAGTTCCATCATACTTGATCGATAGCGATCATATAGTAAATGATAATAATTCATTTAACTGTGGTGGTGTTTAGTTCTCTGAGCTGAGAGAAGTAAACAACACCACAATCATCCACCTGAGCTACAAATTTTCTCCACCATCTGAAAATCATTTAACGTTAATAATCGTATACTAACTGGTTTTACTTATCAGGTTGGATTTCATCTCTTACACATAACAGAACCTATATGGTTTCAAGTCAACAAGTCAAGTCTTCGTGTTCATAAGACATTTCAAACACCTCCATTTATATTCCTTGACAGAATTAGCCCGAACAAACAACTTTAATGATTGTCTGATTATCATTATTTTCTGTACACTGAATTTTTTTAACCCCTTTTTTACATGTTCACTTCAAATATATACTTCTTACACTATCCAATTATCTGAAACCACTTCTTATTTGGAAAAAGAAACAACTCATCGTTTATATATATATATGCATATGAGCTATGTTTTGCAGTGTAGGAGTAAGCTGGAAGAAAGCTAGGGGCGGCCAAACCAAAACATGGCAGAAATCCATGAAATCACTGACAAGTGAACTGAATCATGTCAGTAGATGTAGGTTACCTGATTAGGGTCCGCGAGACGAAAGTCACCAATGGTTAGAGACCTTGAACGACATGGCTAGAAAAAATCGGTTGCAATGGCGCAAGTGCATCCATTCGTTGTGCTCTCTCAAATCCTAATCTTCTGGATTTGTCAGCACCTCTACCTTTGTCTTTCTAACCTTATCTCACTGAATTATACTTCTTGAATATATAATATCTTCGAACCCTAGTCTTCTTCATTACCATTAATACCTCTACTATCTTTATCACTATGGGATATGATTTGACATTTGCGTCTCTGTGCTAATGTGGTTTGGCAACTTTGAACTTATGTACATACGTACGAAGTTCTACATTCCAACTGACTGACCATATGTGCATATGCGGATAGAGTTGTATTTCAAGAAAATCTCAGAGTTGTAAAATAGACAAAATAGTAATAAAGATAATATAAATTTTCTAGATTTTGTTTGGTTTTTTTTTACAGAATCATAGAACACACTTTTACAATGATAAATAGTGTACAGTAGTAATAAACTCTTTAACATTATAAAACTAGAGCATGATTATAATTTGTAATATGTTGTTCATCTTTTAGATTAGATTCAACAAAGTATAGTGCACATTGTTTTGTTAATTCTGATGAATAATTCATGCCTAATTACAACAACAATAACAAAATACAAATATAGCTGACTTATGCTAGGAAATTTCATTGTGCATCAGTAGTTAGATTTAATAGTTTTTCCGATGTAACTAATAGTTCCGATTGAATGGTTGTCATTGTTTCATTCATCTCCATAAGATGACTTGTATTCATTTCAGTGAGTATTGTTTCAGTTGTTTCATTTGAGTAGTTGACTGGTGTTTCGCGTAGTTCATCGGTTGTTTGATATAATTCATCTGTTGTTGTAGTATTAGTAGTATTAGTAGTAGTAGTATTAATAGTGACATTCAGTTCATGCACTGTGTGATTGACTTCATTCGTTATTGTCGTCGGTGTTGTAGGTGTTGTTGTATGTATATGGTGTGTTGTATCTGTTGTAGAATCAGTAGTTCCTGATTCCACTGCTCCACACATTGAATATTGTACCAAACAGAACAATAATAAAATCACTTTACCGAACATCATGAAGACACCGTAGTAGTAGTAGTAGTACAAAATGATATTAGTTTTCTCTATTCTAGAAATATTTTAATGTTTATATACACTAGGTGTTGATGACATTTTTTTTTAAATTACACAATAACAGATTTTTATGTGATTAAAAAGAGATTAAAAAATTCAGTCATTTTATTTCAAAAGATTAATTTATATTGAAATAGTTAAGAAGATTATTATTATTATTATTCACTTATTAACTCGTGAAACTCATGACCGAAATTATCCTAGAAATTATGATATTTTACGTGATTTGTGGACACGTTTTTAATGGTTACTTTTCACTTTCGATATTATTCTGAAAAAAAATAATAAATATGATAATTAAAATCATAAATAAACTATTGTTAGAGAACCATTAGATATTTGGAAGCACTGGATTGCTGTTTCGTTTCAGTATGGAACTCATCAGTGGCAGTGCACATCAAGGACGCTCGTTAACGGGAGATTGAAATGAGAACCGCCGATCTTGCCGGTGAACGCTAAGCCTCTAGACCAGTGAGTCAGCATCCGACGGTGTAAATGTCTAACTATGGTCGGTCTAAGTATTTTGCGCAATCTCATTGATTGCCTTCAGTAGGTAACTGTCTATACTCGAGAGGGTTTTGAACTCCAGTGATCATGGCTTCTCACTAGAACTTCAAGAGTTTTCTTATAAAAACAACACTCTTCGTAACACTATACTGAAGAATATGATAATTACAAGTATTGTGTGTCAACATTTTCTATGAATAACTGTTGATTGCTTAAGTAATTTAAAATAATTACTTCTTTCTATAAATTCAGAATAACAAAACATTGTGGTGTCCAAAAAAATTTTAATTTTATGAATAGATGAAATGATGAACATAAATCATTATTATGTTATAAGAATATAGTGAATTTGATAGTAGTATCATTGTCAGTAGTATTAGTACTTTGAAAATATGAATCAGTAACTTTAGATGGGTAATATGATAGAGGGATTTGTAGATAAATAAAGAAATATATTGATAAGTGAGAATGAAGAGACTTATGAATAAAAATTTACCCTTGACCAATGAAGTAAAACAGTGTCGGCAATTACACACCGAACACAATGGATGGGGTCGCGTAATATCGTGAATAGATTATAAATAATATCATTGGATGTCAGCTCAGTAGTCACAAGGTTAAGGGTCTACGTATATGATCTAAGGTCCTGTGTTCGATTCATGCGTGCGGGGTCACGGGTTCACGTTGTTGAAGAATCCCCCCATACTAACACAAAATGACCGTCCAGTGCTCCTAAGCTTCCGATAGTAGCCTATCAATGATCGATTCACGAATTCAATGAAACGATTGATTCGTCAAACAAATTGGAGACTCTATGTGCCAATGCTAAGTGGACGAAGGGCATGGATTTTAGTTAGTTCAGTTCAACTTTTGAAATCTTCAATTTGAATTCAGGTAAACTGTGAGTTTTTACTAGAGACGTTCGTTTCACTCTTGATATCGAATAAAAACATATGAATATTTATCCTTTATCTGAATCTTTAACGTGACTAGCTAAACAGTCATCAACGGGATTTCTATGGTGTGTTTACAAAGTTGTTCAATCTCACTAAATAACAAGGAAGTAAGTCAGTACATTATGTATTATTTGTATTTAAATTGACCATTCATGATGATGTATTCAAGAAGTAATATTCTTGTTTGGCTATGAATGATTGCATTCTTCCTGTTCTTCCTTTGCATGCGTCTTATCTAGTGTATCAACAGAGATTGGTTCCGTGTTGATGGTCTTTTTTGTGGCCTAAAATCTAATGACATGTTGAAGTTATTGCTTCTTGAATCCTTTTTTTTCCAGTTTTTCTCTATGGTAGTTTTCTATTCTCTAGATAGAAATCGTAAGGTTCGGAACTTATTGTTGAAAGCTGCATTGAATGTGCTGAGGTTTTTAGTATCTTAAAAGAAATTTATATTAAATCGTTGTGATGCTGTTCCCCAGTGTTCTAGTGCTTCTTTAATTTCCATTTTATCTTGATCGCCACTAGGTGGTAATCTGAAGCTATATGAGTTCCTCAACCTACTGTGGAAGAGAACAAACCAGATTCCAGTGGAGGAGGAAATCAGGAAGAAGCAGTGGAAATGGATAGGACATACACTACGAAAAGCAACTAACTGCGTCACAAAACAAGCCCTCACATGGAACCCTAAAGGTAAAAGGAAAACAGGGAAGGCCAAAGAATACATTACGCCGAGAAATAGAGAAAGATATGAGAAGAATGAACAAACATTGGACAGAACTGGAACGCGAAGCCCAGAACAAAGTTGGTTGGAGAAAACTGGTGGGCGGTTTATGCTCTATTGGGGGTAACAGGCGTAAGTAAGTAAGTAATAAGAGTTCCTTTGTTTGATCTCACATCTTCTGTAAACCTTCTGAACTTTTTCATGATGCAAATGTGATTGCTCTGGTTCCCCGCAGTACGGTCTTATGGAATCCATAAAGTTTTGTGAATGAGTTTGTTGGTGAATAAGGTTCTTCCTGTGACCTTCTTCTTGAGGACACATAGATTTGTAAATCTCTCACCATTTTTGTTTCCTTTCTCCTAGTTCCTGTCTCCATATACAGTGTTTTATATTCTAACCTTGGCGTTTAAGAATTCCATCAGACTGATTAAGTCTTTTGTTGGGAATTTCTCGATAACTGACTGCAGCATCTCAAAGAATTAATCTTTATAATCTTTATTGTTTCCGTAGCACTGAATTACATTAGGTGTGACCCCCTCTTTCTTTGTTTTCAAGATTCTAGGTTGATGAGATTCCCATCTTATCAGTGCTTTTTAGGCTTCTATTAACAGCATTGTGGCGTTGGACTATCTTTATCTTCTAAATTCCGTATATCTCCGTCTTGATGATCTCTATACGAGAGAACACGAGTCGTTGCCATAATTTCTTTATTATTCAAATTATTTAATGATCGATACAAATATGGGATTTAATTCAAATATGTATAGTCGACATCGTTGACATCGAATTATTCAAACTTTTAATCGATAAACCTAGTCAAATGACTAACTATATGTGTAGGTGTCAAGTAATGCCCAAGCGTACATACGCATACAAGCTCAACAATGATAAAAGTACAAAAATATATATGTGAGGTGCTACAGCATCAGTGTAACTCCTTGTGTGTGTGTGTGTGTGTGAAGCGTTTACTTCTTCATGGTCAGAGCATAACATCTCTCCTGAAACTAGTCTTAGTTGTCCAGCCTGTACTAAATGTATAACATCACCATGAGGCATCATAACTCTTCTAAATATTGACTTTATAACTTTCGTAGTGAAGTTTCAATGTTTGAAAAGTTTTTTTTATTGTGGTCAGCTTTCTTATAGCAAGGTTGCTTTTTTTCTTATGCTATAGAGTTTCTAACTCCATCCCTAACTCTCCTTTACCAGGGCCTGAGTTGGACAAGAACTGGTGAACGGCTTCAGGCAGAGTTTATCAAAAGTAGTAGTCAGAAGATTTTAGAAGACAAAAAAATAGCTTATTTTAATTAGAACGTTAATGTGCTCAAAATTATTAATGACGCATATATAAGTCTTGAAGTCACATATATTAGAAACTCCTGTTTAGACGATAGTCACTGGTAAAAATCATAGTTTACTTAATTCTACTTAGTAATAATCATAAAATGGAGTTGAGAAGGCAGAGTTTCATTTCTCTTTTCTGGTAGAAATCAATAAGTTGTCTATTGCACTTAAGTTAATGAAACTTATCAATTGTACATTGAAGATCACCATACTGTTATTGTAAAAAAAAATAATACTCTAAAGTGCATTTGTATGATGAGTACATATGAGTGTTTTAGGCTAAAGATTAATTTTTTTCTTTTTAACTGGATAAGCCTTCTTTTTTTGTTTGGTTTATCTGATCATGTTCGATAATCAGGATTTGTGATCAGGACAAATTATCACTGAAACATAAGATTTATCACATATATATAATGAATGTGTCAAATGAAATATACGCATACAGATATATGAATATAGTAGGCTGGAGGGGCTGTATTGTAAAATTAATCTTACCAACCTATAAGAATATATATATATATATATATATATATATATATATTACAACTGAATTCAATATTAGGTTGTATAAATCTTACCAAAAATTGTCATGAAATCTGATGGTAAGATTATTATTATGATGATTTTTCTGATAACAATTTTTTCGAAATACATCAACGTGTATGCAAATATGACTGACTAGCCATGAATCCAAATAGCTAATTCATGTCAGTCTGAACTATGGTGCACTGAATACAAACAAGTAAGTCAAATTAATTTAATTATTTTTTCTATGTCATAACTAAGCACGACCCGATTTGTGAATACAAAATGGCTAATGTATTATTTATTAGCACGTTGGCTGAAAACCTCCTGACCTCTTATATATTATATAAGTGAAATATTTACAGAAATAAATTGGGTGCTCATGTTGTTAGGATATTCATTCAATATCCTAAGTGAATTATTGGTCTATTCCTATTGGTTAATTCCTACTGGTCAATTTTATGCTCGTCCTAGATTTCAATGTCACGTGCTCTAATGTTGTTTCTTATTGGTTGTGCTGACTATCAATGTCACTTCAAATCTTGCTTCCTATTGGTCGTATTAACTGTCAATGTCACAGAGTTCGATGTTGTTTTCTGTTCGATCAAAATCTATAAATACGCATTATCTGTGACGGTTTATGACCACGACCAGGACCCGGATCCCTAGTCCGTGATCCTGATTTTCTTCTGGTTTCGGACCTCGTACTTTCTGGATGCTTGTAGAATACAGGTTCTACATCATATCAAGTCTTGTCTTCTTTTACTCAATATAGGGGTTGGGATAATCGGATTTGAGTAGCATGTCGTGTAGCCGGATCCTCGATCCTCGCTCTTGTTTTTACGACTAGGTAAACTCGTAATAGTTCAAGCATATCAAAATGACGTGTT